AAAAAAAAAAAAAAAAAAAAAAAAAAAAAAAAAGAATGATAGACAGAGAGATGAAAGAGAGAGAGAGAGAGAGAGAGATTGGTCGTTAGAAGGAAAAAAATAGAAGGGAATTGGATGATCTTTTCTTTGTCGAGCATTGATGTCACCGAAAAAATATTTCATCCTATTTTGTATCCCGCCAAGAATCCGTGCTATCCGTGGTCTTTCCTTCGATTTTCTTTAGAAACGTTTAACACGTCCTCAGGGTGCGGTAAATGGCGAAAGGGGAATAAGGTTAAAACGTGAGTGTAAAAAAGGGAAAAAGAAAATAAAAAAAAGAATAAGAATAAGATAGAGATAAATAAAAAAAAAAGAAAACCGATTGTACGGATTTACGTGCACATGTTAGACACGCAGAGACTCACTCACATGTCTGGAATTTCGGTAGTTCGTGCCAGAGTAAAGGTAGCAAGGATTAAGTTCAGAGTTAGGTTTCGCGGCCTCCTTTTCAACATTTTTCTTTTTTTGGATACAATCAGGATCTATTGCTTTATACTATTCCTATTATTATTTTATTAATATTAAATTCCTACTATTATTATTATTATATCAACAATAATCGGGGGTAGTTTTTCTACTAGCGTCACTGTAAATTTTAAAGGACACCCCCAACGACGAATTCCTCACTCTCTCTCTCTCTCTCTTTCACCTCGAATAGAAAGAATTATGTTATCTCTTTTTATTTTTTTGTGAGATCCTTCCTTTATAGTATTTTTTTTTGACTACTTTAAAATAATAAATACCAAATTTTCCTTTTTCATTTCATATCATTTTTCTTAACTTCAATAAATTTATTCAAAATTCCCTTTTTTTTTTATTATTATACCGCTCCCCGTTGTGTTGTGCTTTGTTCGTTTTTTATTTTTTTCCCCCCTTCTTTCTTTCTCTTCCTTTTGTTATCGTCAAATTTTGAGAAGAAAGGAAGAAAAAAAATAAAAGAATTTTTTCCGAAAATTGTGACAGAATATTTCTATTGAAATTTTTATATGTTTCTTTAGAAACGCCAAAAAAAAGAAGAAGAAGAATAATAATGGGATAACAATTTAAAAAAAAAAAAAAAAAAAAATAAAATAGAGAGATTTATTATCGAAATTTGAAAGATTTAAGAGTTACAAAATATACAACACAACAATCGAATATAAAGCAAGAAAGAAAAGAAAAAAAGAAAAGAAAAAGAAATTTTGATTAGTCACTTTGGAAGTTTAAAAACTATTCTCAAGTATATCAAGTATATACACTAGTATGCACAAAAATGTTATTATAATAGAAAATTTCAATATCAATATACATATATATATATAACGATATTCATAATATCAGAAAGAAACGGGATTAACTTTTCGTACGGTGTTATTCAGTGAACAGGGATAAAAGGAGGGTAGGGGGTAGGGTAGGGTGAGGGGGGGGGGAGGGAGAGAGAACTTTTTATTTCCCACGGTGTTTGCTTTGTCGACTGAGCACGGAGAGATCTCTCTTTCTCTCTCTCTCTGACATACTACACATCACAAACACAACATATATACAGACACACACACACACCCTTCATTGGCGTAACCTTTGATTGTGTGATTCAGAGGAAACGAATAAGTTAATTCGATTCTGTCTCTATGTCCTCTCTTCTATGTAGTTTTCGTTTCGCTTCGACAGATCTATATATGTATATAGAATATAAAAATATATATAGAGTATAACTATATATAATATATATATGTTTATGGAGAGTCACATACATATAAAAGATATGTAATAGTTGTGTGTGTGTGTAAAGTTACACCTATTTAACTCTCTTCTTGCCTCTGCACGTTTTGCTACTTTTTTCTCTATCTCCTTTCCTAGTTTTTTTTCTTTCTTTTTCTATTTTTTTTTTCTTTCTCTTTTTCTCTCTCTCTCTCTCTCTCTCTCTCTCTCTCTCTCTCTCTCTTCCTATATATGTCGATTCATGTCGCAACAGAACAGAACCCGAACTAGGTACACTTCTTACTCTGACGCAATCGAATGAACGCGTTTATCATTACAACTAGTATTAGATCACACCGTGACTGTTAAATATATATTGTATATATATATATATAGAGATAGACTGTTAAATGTTGTATATTTCTGTGGACTCTTTCTCTCTTAATAGATAATAGTATGTAGGTTTGTGGTTTCTGTAATGAGAAAACTAATAGATCGTGGCCAGGGTTGTTTGGTTCTTCGTGATCGGGATGACGCACGGATTATGTGAAATCGGAAGTTTTATTATGAAATATATATATATATATATATATATATATATATATATATATATATTTCATATATATATTACATTTCGCGTGAAAACTACTGCGATTTCGTTGGCGTTCGCGTGCGAAATATCAATCCTCATACTAACACATAT